TGTAATCGGTTGGTGTATACACCGATACGACGAATAGGCACCGATGCTTCGTTCTATAGCTGTTAATCCGTGCTGAGCCGTTGAGACGTACAGTGCATAGTCGGCTACTGACTGGAATTCAGTCAAGAAGCGAGCGCTCAGCCTTGGCACTTAGCGCAATCCCAACACCAGCAACACCGCGAGCTTCGGATGCCGAAACGCCTGACACAGAGGGTGAAGCGTGAGGTCGAAGTTGGGTTAGAACGCAGGGAAATGATTTAAGTAGGTTCTTATATGCGTGTTTCGGAGACACAACATACATCTACATTGAAAGTTTCAAGGGTTCTATCCAAAGCAGCCTGCTGATAGAGTGTGCGAACATTGAACGCGGCTAAGTGAAAAGGGGATTTCGGTTTCAAAAATCCCGTAGCTTCTGATTGTTTGGCCTTGATGATAAAACGTTGATTGATATTCGATGGGTGGCGTAAACGGGAGGCATTTGGGATTATTATTCGGGACTGAGAGGAAGAACTAGAGAGATCAGAAAGAGGTTTTTCCAAATGGATGCCTAAGACTTTAGGGCACTGCATACTTCGCGGCAGTCCACACTGACGAAGGGGTTTTTCTTTGGGAAACCTAACCGGAGCCTTCGACTCAAAAGTCTGACCCATAAGACAGTGGGGCGTAAACCCAACGCGGGAGGGTGGGCGAAGCACCCGTGTGGGAACTTGTAGAGACCTGTCACGCAAGGCCTTTGAATTTCGATTATTTGTGTTGTTCCTGGTGTGTTATCGGTTCGCTTTTCGGGATCAGCCCTCATGCCTCATGCACCCAATGAGACAAGCGGAACGTGGACGGGACAGCACCTTATTGGCTGGGGGCTGCTCAGCTTGGGCGGGCGGTAGCTGTCCAATGAAGTGCGAAGACTTCTCCCACCGTCGAGAGGAAGCCCCAGGTACCCCGCTCCTACGTCCATCTAGCGGGGTTTTTTGACGGGTAAACTGCCACTCACAGTGTTTTTTACTGGAGTGACCCCTCCAGCGGGCGGGTGTGGATAAATGAAGGAGGTCAGTAAGTGTTAATCGGGTACTTAAATTGTGAAACCTGGAGTGCATAAATTTTGTAAGGGCATGAAGAAATATTGGAACAACAGTTCCCCAGGGCGACTGATACACTCAAAATCAAAGTTCTATTATGGGAATTAATTACAAGCTCACTGTTCTCTTGCCCCTATAGGATATTTACACAACTGTAACATTTGTCGGCAAAAAAGAATTATATGTCATATAGAGTTCCGGGTAGGAGAGAACAAATAATGTAGTCACAGACGAATTTCCGTTTTTTTAGTTCTGTAGGAAGGTGAGGTGTGCCAAGGTTTGATCGAGTCTCCACTGGAAAGATTCAACAGTTAGTACACAAATGACATGAGATGGAAGGGTGTTCCAAGCACTGCACACTCTGACTGCAACAGAATGATGCGGGCATCCCGGTCGACAATCTGGAATCAGTAAATTGAAACGGTGTCCCATAAGGTGTACGTAGTTCGATAACATGAGTAGCGGCCGATATGACTGGTTGTGGTTCTGTAGTATTCGATGCGCAAAAATCAAGTCTCTGCGAATTTGGCGGTATTGAGTGGAATATATTCCCAATGATCGTAATCACCTCCCATAGATGAGACAGTTCAATCCTTTGACCATCTTGGTGGTCATCTTTTTGTGGACGCTCCTGCGGCTTACGATCACATTGCAACCATGGTCTCCAAGCTTCAATGACGTACTTTGTGTACCGTCGAATATACACTGATAGCCAACGTGGGAACGACACTGATTCAACTCGAGCAAACCTAAATCCTTCACAGCAACGGACGAAGCCCTAGCGCAATAGATTAAGCAACTAAGGTCCTCCTGAACGATTATACCTAAGGCTTTCTGACTCAAAGTATTTGGCAGCTACTGATTTCCCAGGAAATACCACAATCTACTCCTATGGCGTAAGGATAGGAATTTGCATTTAGAAATATTGGACTCAATGTCGTTCTCCTTAGCCCATTGATAATCTGCGGTAAGTGTTTCTTGAAATGTGGAACAGTCTTCCTTCTAGCTTACAACATCCTTGTCTTTAAAGCAGAATCACCAAGCTGGTTCTAGTTTAAATATTTCCCTTTAACTTACCACGTATAGTAATTATGTCCTTGGATCATGAGGTTTCCTTCTTTTAGTATATTCACTTACGTGTAATGACAAAATGACTATCGGTCTACTCTTGTTGCAGTTCTGTCGATGGAACGATATCTATCTCATCTTTATATGCACATCTGCTCACTCTAGTACTGGAGATGTCTTGCTATAATATTGGAGTAAGAAAGGGCTGAAATAATTATACTAGATCGTGTATAAACAGTAAGTTGATTATACATGGTTAGCATAGGTCATGGCAATGATCTGATGAAGATGGTTTCGGTCATCTCGTGGGTTTACACAAAATGGCAAACAGTCTGATCGTCTACCGGATGATTCGTCGCAGTCGTGTGCCAACTGATGTACTCTGTTCAGCGATATAAATGGTAGTTTTCTGCCTGATTTTACCGGTTGACATGCAGATAAATCTGTCTCGACATAAATCGTGCAACCTAGTTGTGTTGTGCTCTCTTTCTCTTCAACGTCTACCGGACAACCAATTTTGCGTCAGGTTTACGTTCTACCTCTGCGACCCCTATTGTCATCCATCCACAGTCCGTTCGATACACGTCCTCTGCCCGGTGATCTCTTTGCGACGTGGAAACACCGATACACAATGCTTAGTAGCATTTCAGTCCGCGAATTTTCTGGTGTGTGCACGAACTAATCCCGTTGTGGACTAGCTCACTTCATTGTTCCACTCTGAATATCTGCCTATAACTTTGGTGTTTTCGATCACAGCATACTGCTCATCGATTGTTATTATACACTAACCTAATCTCCTCTTCTCTATGACATCCACAGATTTCTCATTTGCTTGTCCCCATCTCTTTCATTTTTCGTCCCCCCTCCCCCGATTCAGGGCAATTCAATCAGTTTGTCCACGGTCGATGTGTCCGCTGCGTATGTGGGTCTTCGCACACATCAACCACTAATTGCCGGTCCGTTACTCGCCTGTTTCACCTATGCCGGCCCTCTCTACTGGCAACTGGCCTATTTCACCCGATACGCATTTCATCCATCCACCAGTAGTCGTCTCGGTGCCAGTCTGTCCCTATTCCGATTGGGATTTGTGATTTTACCGTTAACATTCTGTGCCACCATTTGTTTCTTGCTCCAGTCCCATCTGTTCATTTGGACTGTGTTCACACCGAAATTACTCTATCTGGCCACATTCCAGCTGGTCTTCCTCCCCGTCCTGTTGTTGTGGTCATGCAAAACCGCTTGATCCTCGTCCGTTTGGTTGTCCGCATGTGTATCACTAGGTCTTTTTCTCTCTCTCTCTCTCTCCATTCCCCCACTCCCCAGCTGTGACCCACCGTTTTCCCACTTTCTGGACTAGATCACACTGGCCACGCCACTGGTTCCGTGAATCGGATCTACTCGGTCTTTGTTACTGATCCTGTGATATGTCACCTGTCCGTCTTTTACCGTTTTTTGTTTTTGTTTTACACCCATTCCAACTGTTTGTTTTCTATGTATTCGAATCTCAAACTTGTGTATTAGTCGAATACGAGATAATAAATGTTTTGGATCGAATTATCGGTACTCGCCTAAAGACGTTGGGCTGGGTAAGGAGACCACGTATGCGAGGTGAAATGTTCATCCGATGGCAGGCAGTCGTTCTGTTCCCCGTCAGTACCTGCTGGACAAGCGCGTGTTTAGTTTTTTTTCGCTCCGTAACCATACCCTTTCACTTACGGGATTTGGTTGGTTTCTCTTGGTTACCCATTTGGTTGACCAATTATTAAGAGAGTTAGAGAGTGAATTAAGTCGTTGATAGTCATATCAATGTAAGCTATATTTGCTGTACTTTACGGTGGTGGACTCCTAGGAAAAGATAAGCCGTCTTCATGACTATCCCGATTGCAGGTGCCCACGATCGGTGGCAAGATCTGCACAAATTGTGATCCAGCCTGACTTCCGCCGGCAAGTGTCGTAAACGAAGCGGAGGTTTTCGGCATCCTTGCATAGTATTGGCTACCCAGGACTTCATCCGTCCACCGCCTGGACAGGAAAGCGATGCCAAAGTCCGGTGGTTATCCGACTTTCGAGCTATGTGATCAAATCATTGTAGTCGGTGCCGCCGCTGTATGAGCGTTCGTAGATGTATAAGAATAAGACACCGGTTTCTGGTTGCCTCATTTGGGAGCTGATCCCTCCGTCGTGCTCCTAGAATGATTCTAAAGCACCAATGATCCTTTCATTTTCTAATCTAGGGCTCTAAATGGCAAACTTTCGCAGCCGTGCTGCGAAATAGGACGGACTACTTCCAAGAAAACTCTCATTTTTGTCCCGAGGTTGATTTTTCTTCTACACCGTAGGTGGTCCTTCTGCTTAGGCGTGCAGTTGTACGTCGTCTTTAGCTTGGTCGCCGGGAATTATGGTCGAGCGTAGTGTATTAAAGCTTTCGACGGATTCGATCCGCTCACTTTTTATTCTCAAATCACCCTGTTGAATCAGGACTGTCGCAAACATTTTGTTTTTGGATGTGTTCACTTCTTAGGTTGATCTCGGAGGCCTGTCGACTGATGCGGTCAACAATTACTTGGACATTGGGCATGTTCTCAGCAAACACGACGATATCATCAGCAAATTCTAAATCGGTGACCCAAAAGTTTTCATCAGATCTTTCGCTGTGCCGATCGGGAATAACGTGACGCGGTGCCCAGCTATCGACAACCAATACATCCCAGTCACGTTTTCATCTCTGTGGCACAGACCTGCGATTCGTTAGCGGCCACTAACACCTGCGAAACCCCTTCTTGGCTGAAACAATTTCAGAGAGTTCACATTACAAAGGATGCCATCGGTGTACTGGTTAGAAACACCTTTGAACACTGCCTTGCCTAATGTAGGTCGAGCAATCAGGCGGGCATTGCGACATAGTATTCCGTCGGATTGTACGCTGATTTCTCCCCGGTGGACGTAGAATGGTAGGAATTTCTTCAAGTTCGGGAGCCAACCTTTCAATATGGCTGGGATGATGTCTATGTAGTACCGTTAAGTGAACTTGCACAAATCCTCTCGCCATGCTCCGTCTCTCAATCACCGCCACCGTCGGTTTTGGATTCGACTTTCTTGGACTGAATTGCATTGCTTGGTGATCGGTCATAACGATGAGACAATTCGGACAGATATATCTGCAGGCGCCTGACAGCCCAATATATCATGTTTATATTTTCATACGTCTGAGTTCAGACTGTAAGCCAAACAAAGCACGATTCAACAGATTTTACAAAAAGAAAAAACAAAATGGTTTTCTCCTGGGCGCGATACTGCTGGGTCACCCAGGTCAAAACAGGTGAATTTCTTGGGAAATTCACCACAGGAGCCTCCGGTTAGCCAAAGCTTAACCCGTAAGGCAGCAGGACGGTGTGTGAAATCTGCAATCCATTAGGGGTCTGTGTCCAGTTGATCGGATCAAACCCCCTGTCATCGAGGTTAAATGTCCAAGGTGCCCAATTGCGTTGGTGACCACCGCCATAACAAGGAAGGTGTGATTCGCACGCCTATTCTTGGTTGGTTTGTCATCTGGGTTTTAGCCAACCCCGTAGGTGAACTGTCAGTAGTTCACCGACCCAGATGTTGGTTTTTTCGTTCACTCATTTTGGTAGAAAACACCGCCACAGATAGGCATCGAGTAGGACTTCCTCAGGAATTGTATGAGACGCTTGGTCGTATGGGAACATTTCGTTAGGTGCAAGGAAGCGGTGACCAGCCGGAACCCGAGACACCCAGTCCCGACAATAGTGAAACTTTTGGAGGACGGCCCAATACACAACCAACGCATTCTTCGGCGTCTACGAATATCTCCGTTCTGCCGTCTTCAACAAGCGAGAGATTCAAACAATCGGACATCCATACTGTTCAAGTACGGCACCCATACCAACATCTGACGCATACCTAATGCACGGTGGGCGTTTCTCTAGAGAAAATCAGCCGAGTGCTGGTCGTTCCGTTATCATTTGGATGATTTCATGTAGAATTTGTTTGCACTGGGCAATTCGCTTCCCCTCTGCTACAAAGGGCGGTTGAAACTCCCCGTCGAAGTTCGGCATAAAACGTGAATAGCATTGGAGGCATCCTATGACGAACCGCGTTTGCTTTTGGTCTTTTGTTAATTCGAGTTCACTCGGGACGAAATCGACCAGATTCAGGAGGTTAGCCTTTCTATTCAAAAGTAAAACCCAAATATTCGAATTCGCCAGAGCTGAAAATGCATCTGACATAAATGTTCTTCAAGTGGCACTTTGATTGCACCGACCAATCAGATTGTGTCACATATCTGTTTATTAGTGTTTGAATGCCTGCTGATGATGTGTACAGGCAGCGCCGGTGGATGATATCTTTTCACTTTGTTCGTAAATTGCGGCGCTTACAGGTTGTGCCTCACCAAACGACTTACTTTCCTTGCATATTGCTGGTTCTACTGAATACGGCAGTTAACATTTTGCATAGTTCATTGCTCGGCGCGCACGACAATCAAGATGACCCTGGCTGTTGCATTGAAGGACGGGCATGTAGTGACAATTGAAATGCTGTTCAGATATCCCACCCTCTGTCTATTTCTTAATCTTCTGTACACAACCCCGTCCGTTTTATCACTTCAGACCCGTAACATTCTATCGGACAACTTGCTTGCAACATTCCAAAGCTTGTTGCCAAAATGACACCCTAAGCAGTTTACCGTCAACTAAGAAACCCCCGTAACCTCGGAATCTATTGCCCTTCACTATGAAGACTTGTGCACGCAAGTTATTAAACCTGTTTGGTGCCTAAACCACATTTGTGGAGAGCCCTCCAGTGATTTCGACTGAGTACCATCCTTACAGTCCGAGTACAACGACCCTCGTATAACATGTGAGCTGTGTTCAGCTGTGTTCTTATTTAGCTCTGTGTGAGTTGCAATCACTGAACAATCTCCACTATGGATTACGGTTTGCGTGTTCCCTGCCCGTTCATCTGCACCTCGTACGGGTTCACGGCGTATCCAGAAACCTTTTTCTCAACCCTCATACACGGAAGAGTAAAATGAGAAACACATATTAGCCATATGACATTACCAAAGGGAAAATTATTTAGTTTGAAACGATCAGGAAGCGGTCAGAGCGAAAAATCGTTAGACGTCAAAATTTCTGTTACCGAAAGCTGTAATAGACACATTTGACAATAACGACATGTTTTCAACAGTCGATTTCTCAAATATTTTCATATTTGAGCACCGAATGAAGATTGAATACTTCTTGCAACTTTAATAAGCATTATTATTTCCGCTAACATGACTCAATACACCGCTGTGCTATAGGACATAATGGTTGACTGGTGTATGCTTGCGATCTATATGCCACGATATAGCTTCCATAAAAAAATGTAGGTAAAATAGCCGGATCAATGTTATTCAAAACCGTTATTTATACACCATGCAGCGGTGGTTCGTATTCCCTAATTAGTGACATCTCTGATAAAGGGGTAGTGTGTGGTTTCGTTTAATATATCACAAAACGGGAAAGCGCCTTCAAAAGTCCGATAATATTTTAAAAAATTTTCAGAGAAATCAATCAATAAATCTATAAAAAGCCCTGAATTACTGTTTGGAAAGTCTAGGGAAAGGCTTGGCCCTGTTGCTCATCTAGTGTCAACTCATATTGATTCTGTGTATTCATCCAAGGAGTCAGTTAGATGTGGAGTTGTCCCAACGTGATCTTACTTGAATTACACTATCGTACAGACTTCATAGCAGTTTTTACCGGTGAGAAATTCGTAAATAGGTGTGAAACGAGGTGCATTCCGCAAGTCTCTATGTGGGGAATATTGAGCGTTTATCTAAACTGACTACTGACAATGATTAAAGTAGTAATTTTCTGAATACGTATATTGGATTGTGGAAGCAGTCCAATTTGCCTTCGCACTCGTTTCTTCGGCACTGCTCAATCACTGGTACCGGAACCCAGATAAGAATATATGTTACGAAGACACTGACGTCTTAGGCAATCAGGGAAGACTGGTAGCAATTTGAATCACATCAACACTGCATAACATACCCATCCGTTTGATGGTAACGAGCAATTTTCGTGTCCCGGAAGCACAATAAGACAGTTGGAAATCTGTACTATGCCGGGCAAGTATTCGTTCATGTGGAAAAGTTCCGAAGCTTCGTTCTGTTTTCTGCAGATGATTTTGTAAATAAAGTGTCTTATATTCTCGTTCCTTTCTGTAAGGTGTGTG